AATTTTACCCTCCCATCAGTGTTAATTTTATTTTTCCCCTAAACAATTACGATATGAGGTATACTTTAATTTTAAACTTTACTTAAAATTACATTAAAATTAAAAAGACGCGTTTTGGAATGACTGCTTGATGAAATATTGCAGTAAAACAATGAACAATGATAGTCAGGTAATAATTAAGATTTCATGAGTCGGGGATCGAACCTACACCGAGTTCAAAGTGGACGCATTCGACGTCTTAGACGACTCGGTCACCGCATTGCGTGAGGGTTTTGGTGCGAATCTTGTGTGGATAAGTGTAGAGCTGATGCGCAGGCTACACAGCTACTGCGCAACCTCCTCGACCACAGCGCATCCTCCCGCGCATAGCGGTAGCAGTACCGGAGCATTCTATAAACTCACTCACTTTTATAACGTAATTTTAAAAAAACCTGGGTCCTTTTTCCAAAATCTGATTACAGCGGGCTCATCTAGGGCCTATTACCCGTCGATTTACGCAAAAATCATGGAAATTGGCCCGGTTGAACGCTCAAACGAACTATGACAAAAAGTATAAATTTACATTGTTTAAATGGGAGAATTCGCAACTTTACCACGTAATATAAAAAAACCTGGGCCATATTTTGAAAATCTGAAAAGAGTTGGCTTGTCTAGAGACAATTGCCCGTCGATAACCGCAAAAATCATGAAAATCGGCCCGGTAGAACGCTGGAACTAAGCGTCACCAGTTTCGCAAAATTAGGAGGTCTTGGAGCTTAGAGTATAGATACCTTCTGCAGAGGTCTATGCGAAAGACTTTGATTTGCAGTATCTTATCAAAACACGAGCAAAGATGATTCAGTCAACTTCTGACGCAGAATCAAAGAGACTTGCTAATAATCAAATTAAAGGTAATGCTTAAAGTCAAGTATCTTTGATTTTGTGACACTCAGTTGATTTTTATCAGTACAACACTGTTTCTCACTAAAAAGATTTCACTTAACAGAGAAGCGCCTTCGGCTAAAAGTACAATCCTGATTCCTGCTGCACACGACATACACACTTCCTTTGGCTTTCTCAACAGCAGTTGCTGCTGAGTAAAACGGTTAGAATAAACACTTCACATTATTACCAGTTTATGTACCCGAAGACTGACGAAGATTGAAATGAAAATGGGAAACTTTTCACACTAAACTCTTCAAAGCTGCAGGGCGACCACGAGGATACGAGGATCTAGAAACTTCTATGAGCACTACTGAGTGATAAGCCTAAATAGGTGGTGCATGGAAATATAAACAGGAGGACCCAATCATCGGTTTAGTTCACTGCACCCTCTGCCAGGGCCAGGGAGCGCTGATGTCAGCGCTAACCGGAGTTGGGGGTCCTTATTTATTCTCTTGGTCCATGGCTTAGGACCCAAAAATGGCGGTGCTTCGTTTTGGTTTTTGTGGATGGGAGGGAGGTCATTGCCGACTTTTGACGGTTATCACCAACCGCACTTGCTGCCAACCTTACTACATCTAGGATAATTTTTCTCAAAAATTGCACACGATTAGCCTTAAAAATATGTAGGTAAAGAAGTCGCAATAGTGCATTTGGGTAAATTTCTTGTTACTGTAAGCAAAGAAAACTACATTTTGAGTCATTTAACATTACATTAATTTATGGTGTCCGCCATTTTTGGGTCCTAAGGGCTCCATTCAGCCTAAGATGGCTGAGCTAATCAGAGGTAGTAACACAAGTGGCCATACTCTCCCATTCTCTCAATATAGGTACTCTAGCGGTAAGGAGATGGCGCTCTTGGCGCATAGAGAAAAAAAAGGAGGTGTTTGCATCTTGAGGATTTGTACCCACCTACGTCATCAATGTAAACAAGACGCTCGTTGAGGGTTATGTTGACGCTGTAAAAACGGACCATAATGTCCGATTTTTTTACTTAAATCAACTCTTTATTTAATTTCAAGCACTTTTTATAGAATGACTTTTTCCCTTAAATTACACCATTTCCAAAAAAATCGACAGGATAAAAACGTCGCTGTACCCAATGACGTCATCAAAGCTATAGATACTCTATGAAAAATTCCAAGATGCCCGAAATGCAAACACCTCCTTTTTTTTCTCTATGCTCTTGGCGGGCGTGTGGTGAACCTTCCAGCAGGTAGATTCGCCCGCCAAATTTAATTTGATATCATGCTCTATGCCAGTTCTGTAGAAGAAATGTTTCACATTTTAGCCAAGGTTCTGGATCGCCTAGAAAATATTGGTATCAAGCTCAACCGACCCAAATGTCAGTTCTTGCTAGACTCTGTTGAATTTCTGGGCCATAGGATCGACCATAGACTCCTCAAACTGGACAAACACATTGATGCTATAGTAAACGCTGAAAAACCTCAAGACGCTGATGAAATCCGAACATTTTTGGGTAAAGTGCCCTACTACCATTCTTTCTTACCAGAACTCTCCACAATCACTCGTCCTTTCAGAGAAATACTGAAACATAAAATTTTCACCTGGACTCAAGAAGGCCTTGCTGCTTTCAACAAACTGAAGGAAATTTTGATCTCTGATCAAGTGTTGACTCCTTAATATGATCCAAAACTACCGATTACATTAGCAGTCAGTGCCAGTCCCTTCCCTTTAGGCGCAGTGTTATCACACTCCCTACTGAATGAAACGGAGAGACCCATTTCATATGCCTTCGCAGAGAGGCTCACCGACCCAGTCAACTTCGGATTCTAGCTCTTCACCCGATGTTTCATCACAACATCTCAAGTCACTGATTAGTCAACATTCAGAATCCTCGAGTCAATCTATTAACGTTACTCCTAAAAATGTACCTATATCGAAACCCAACAAAGATCGAAGTAGAGGGGTTTCTAAAGCCACCAAAAAACAATTTTCAGTTAAACCTGGTGTATCGACTTTTGGTCGCATTGTAAAACCTAAGGAAACATACTACCCAGAGTAATGAATTGAATTATTATTCTTTCACTGTAACACCGTTAAATAATTGTCTTATTATTATTTTTTTTTTTTTTTTTTTTTTTTTTTTTTTTTCTGTTTTATTAGAAGAAATTTATTCACATAGATTTTTTTCTTCGCAATTCTGCAGAGATTGTGGTATCTGTCAAGTTGGTAGTATGTATTCCTACGGAGATTTGCCCTAATAGGTAGTGAAGCCTGAGTTGGATTCTTGTAAGCTTATCAATAAAATGTGATCTTCTCCTTGGACCAGGGTCTTACTTTTCACCTTTTCCTTCAAAGGCATCTTTTGCGATATTATAGCAGGGAGTGGTGAGCTCAAAATAAACTCTCCAGCTTCCGAGTAATTCTTAAGTAGAGCTCTTGCATTCTTCTAAGATTTGCGATTTTAGTGTTAACCTGCATGTGAAGGATTATGATGATGCTACCTATATCTTTTCTCTGGAACTGATTCCAAGGCTCAAGAAGGTTTTAAGTGGAGGCCATAAAGGAGGGGATCGCTCACGCTACAGTGAGAGTCCACTCCTTAATGCAGTCACACTCACTATGCACAGATATTAAACATGTTTACGGACACGTTTACAAGAGCCTCAAATCACAGAGAGGACTACCCAGCTACGATGGATTTCCAGCGATTCCCAGGGTACGTTTCATGAATCATTCATGTTTTAATTGGTACCTAGATCATTTCTCTGCACAAGACCGGAAGGTAAGTATCCACTTATATTTTAGGTTAACTTCATACCATCCTTGTAGGAATTTTCTCTCTAAAAACAGAATTGCTTTAGCGTTCCATTCATCCAAAATAAAACTTCAATTCTTAAATCAAATCCACATCTAAAATGGTTCCAGGACTTTATGTCCACTAAATTCATAAGTCCACCGCCTTTATGTCCATTTTGAATGTCCAAAAAATTTATGTTCGCCACATTTATGGCCACAGTATTATATGTCCACAGTATTTTAAATAAAATATTACCTACACAATGAAGAAAATATGATGTAATGGATTAGGTTTGTGGGTCTCAAAAAATTTTCCAACTTACATTGCTAGGTGAAAACCACATGTATGCGGAGACTTCAGATCAGCTAAGATCTCAGATCAGCGGAGATCATCTTCGTCCTCGACAATTTCATGGGGATTTACTTTGATACGGTGGGCTAAACCTCGAAGATATGTGCGAATTTGATTATTTTTGTATGTCTCGTAGGTCCTAACCATCTCTTTTATTCTTCTCAAATTGGTTACGTATTTTCTCTTGATCGGATGTTTAATTCTTGAATGCCCTGCAAGCAGTTGTGTTATGAGGCCAGAATTATTTGACTCGTCCTTCCGCAAGAAGTCCATGAATTTCCAGATGTTTGGGTGATGAGTGGCGACTTTTTTCTGAAAACCAGAATGCCACCCTTCAATAGAATTGGTGGTTCGCATTACTCCGGCTCTAACAGTCTCAAATACATTCCAAAGTTCTGGAGGAAAGCGAGGTGGCACCATCCTTCTCCTCCTTGCAACGTCTCGTAAATAATTTCTATCGAAGTAATCAAGAAAATCATCCAGCTCGTCTCCTTCATTTTTACGCCAATTTTACGCCGGAAATTTAGATACTTCTTGAGCAATACTTTCCCTCCTAGTCCTTCATTTTCTATGGCAACGCATATCAGCTGAATTGACTATTAACATTAACCTTCAAAAGCGTTACCGAGCTTCTGCTATGCAATAGGTCCTTTCGAACACACATTAGCTTATATTGGGCTTACCGCGGTATGTAAATACTGTGGACTTAAAATACTGTGGCCGTAAATGTGGTGGACATTAATTTTTTGGACATTCAAAATGGACATAAAAGTGGTGGACATTAATTTTTTGGACATTCAAAATGGACATAAAAGCGGTGGACATACGAATTAGTGGACATATAGTCCGTGAACCTCTAAAATAGAGAATTCTTTATACCTACAAAACTTTCCATCTAGATGGTTTGCTCATGCTTAGGGCTCCATTAATTAATAAAATCTGTATGAACAAATAAGGTACTTACTACCTACCGAGAAATAATTTTGCATTGACGAGAGCATCACTGACTGCATGAACATCTTTTGTGGCTTTTCTCATTTGCAGAGAGAAAAGAGATCGCTTGCTTGATTGACTCGGAGAAGCCATGAATCTTGACAAAATTTACTGAAAAATATGAAATATATCTTGAAGATATAGTAAAACTGATGTAAAAGAGATCGGTTATCAAGTAAAAAAAAAAAAAAAACTGAAGTCAACTTCGAAGTTGAAAGACTTGGATTATTGTGAGATGCCGAAATATTTGAAAAAATGTTACTTACCTACGAAAGGAAAAAATTATGCAAGTTTCTAGATTCCACTTAAATATTCTAAAAAATTAAAGATAGAAGAGCTCATCTCAACTTTAAAATTTTCAAATGTTACGAGTTTCAAATGAAAGCAACAGGTTTAAAAAATCAGAGGAGCCTTAGGGGAGAGGCGGGCAACGTGGAACGGGCGGGCAAAGTGGAATTTGACCTTTTAAAAAAATCTGTCCGTCCTATGGCGACCCTGGTGGTTGAAGTTAAAACTAGAGAGAGTATCAGTCTATTAGAAACTGTTTCTATATGCAAAAAACAATAACATAACCAATAAAAAATGACGTCAATAGAAAACCGGTCCTTCGCAAATAGTCCAGGTTCTTATGTACTCCCGTGGAACGGTAAGTGAAGCAAGTGTGGAATATATCTTAATCTCTTCATTTCGATGCGTAAAAAAAGAATTTCGATGTTGTCAAGCTCAATTTTGCGTCTAACCCCCCAAAATCAAGATGGCGGCCAAAATGGGGGCTCGGGGGGTGAAAATTATGGAATTTGATTTTGATGTCATGATTGGGGTCAATTCTTATGTAATTTTGGTCGTAGAATCCGAATTTGAGGTCCAAAATACTCTCCGACCCAAAGGGATGCCCCAAATCCAAGATGGCCGCCAAAATCTCCAAGATAGGGTCAAAACTGCGATACGTATGTAAAAGTGCCAAGTAGGGTGTCCTTGGTAGGGTTCTTTGGGTCGGAGATTTCACCTATGATGTCAAAAACTTACCACGGATCCATTGAAGCCCAAAAAAATCAAAATGGCGGCCAAAAGGGCTGCCGTTGCGGGGTGAAATATTTTGTTGAGGCAAATATCGTCGAATGAGGTGTCACTGTATAGGTTTTTTGGGTCGTAGATTCCAAAAATGAGGTCCAAATAACAAAATAAGCTGATAGAAGTTCTCCAAAAGCCAAAATGGCGGCCATAATGGCTGCCGCCCAGGCATTGAACGCGTTTGAACAGTAGGGTGTCCCATTTTGGACGTTACAAAAAAAAAAATTGCGAAATCCAACAGAGATACCTGCCAAAAAGTTGTCTCATAGTTAGAAAAAAAAGCACAAAAAAATCTCAGGGTCGTAGCTAAAGTTTGAGTGGTCCCGCAAGGTACTTAAGATGTTTCACCGATTCCTCATCTTGGCAATCTTGGCGATCTTGCAGATTTTTTTTCGGCAAATGCAATCGAGGTAAAAAGTCGCAAATGCGGATAATGAGACTTCTGATACTATATTTTAAGAGAAAAATAACGGTTTGGACCCACGAGGATCAGAATCCCTCGTTCTTAGCTCTCAAAATGCTAAAATCAGCGATTTTAGCATTTTGTAGTCAAACCGCTGCTCGACCGTCGCTCGACTTAAATGTCGCGGCATTTGACGCGCTGTTTCACAATGATCCCATTGTAGGAGTAAAAAGTCCTTCAAGTATGTTCATTAGAGGTGTAAGAGGGTCACTTTGGCCAATTTTTGTTGCTTTTAAACATTGAGCTCATTGTTTAAAATGTTTTTTGTTTTTTGTTTTGTTAATATAATTTTCCTGTTTTTCATCATTTTTTAAAATGGTTTAAAAAGGGCGACTCATCTTACACCAAAATTGAACTCCTTTGGCGAACAATATACGTAGATGGTCAAATACTTCCTCCAAAACAGTTTTTGGATTCAAAGCCTCCCAAAAAAGCCGATGTTGCCATATTTTATCCCCGGAAAACACAAAAAACCGAGTACCTATTTCAGTATTTGGAGGCTGTTCCTCACCGAGCTCATTGAGCAAATTTCAGCAAACCTTGAATTTTCATACGTTATGACCAGATTACTAGTGATTATGTACATGTGTTTATCTATACAGCCTCCCACCGCGGCGCGACGTTGCCACATACCATCGATAAAATTCGATGGAAATCCGCGTTTCCTTAGATTTGAGCCATTTTTTCGGATATTGCACATGGAATACTTATGTAAAACTTAAAATGCAGTATTCAGAGATGGAAGGGGATCATACCTTGTGGCAATAATCATTATTTTAAGATCCTGCGCTTATTGACGACCCATTTCTTACGAATTCTAAGCATGATGTTTGTGATGTCTCCAAATCTTAGGGAGTGCAAACTCCTTGAAGGACTTTGGGAGGGTAGAGGAATTTCCACTTTGCGGTTTGAGAAAAAAATGGGGAAATTGCGAGGCAGCATTCTTAGCAATCGGTACCCGTCCAAAAGGACGGGGGTGGGGGGGAGGGCTAGGTTTAAGGGTGGGCAAAAATTCAGCATTGAGAACCCGTGTTTTTGAAATGTGGCACTGTTTCTTTTTGGTCCTCAGATCACGGTCAATGTTTGAAAGTCGCATCCTCGTGCACAAACATCATGACTAGAAATCGTAGGAAATGGGTCGTCAATAAGCGCAGGGTCTTAAAATAATAGATATTGGCACAAGGTATGATCCCCCTCTATCTCCACGGAAAAAACGAGTTTAGGGTTGGGACCTGCGGGGCAGGGCCGGCCCTACACCCGGGGTAGGTAAAATTGCTTCACCTAAACATCGAAGGGGCAGGCCCATGCTGAAGTTAAGGTTCAGCCCTACCTGCCTCAGGGCCTAGTCCTACCTGAGGCGGGGCCGAGCACTAACCACATAGGGCTGGGCCCTGGAGAAGGTAGGACTGGGTCCTGAAGAAGGCAGGGCTGGACCCTGCAATGCGGGAAGGACCGGACCCCCTAAAAAAGAATTCGAGGATGTTACTCTACTTATGCGAGCATATTTAGCGCGCTCTATGCACTGTTCTATGAAGTACTCACACAAAATCGGAGGGACTGTATTTTGGATCAGTTTGAACATTGAATGCAAAGAAATAGTAAATTTTAAAAAAGCCTGAATTACGGCCATTTAAATAATTCTTAGCTCAATTTCGATGGCATATTCAGAATCTACATGAAAAAGTGGTCTAGAAATACTCTTTCAAAGCATGATGGATTGATAAAGAGTCTCGCTATGGAGAGTCAAAGAGAGGAGAGTCGAGAAAATGAGAATCGCTAAAACGGGCTGTTTTGAATACCGCTAAAATTCACCCCATCTTTGGGGGTCGATATCTCGCGAACGGGGCGTCAGATGGGAAAACCCTTCAAAATTGGTTTCTTAATATGATATAAAGACCCCGTACACCAATTTTCAACCAAATCGGAGGGGGTCGAGTTTTGAGCTTGGTTGCGTTGACGTGGAATGACCCATATGTATTCCATGTGCAATATCCGAAAAAATGGCTCAAATCTAAGGAAACGCGGATTTCCATCGAATTTTATCGATGGTATGTGGCAACGTCGCGCCGCGGTGGGAGGCTGTATAGATAAACACATGTACATAATCACTAGTAATCTGGTCATAACGTATGAAAATTCAAGGTTTGCTGAAATTTGCTCAATGAGCTCGGTGAGGAACAGCCTCCAAATACTGAAATAGGTACTCGGTTTTTTGTGTTTTCCGGGGATAAAATATGGCAACATCGGCTTTTTTGGGAGGCTTTGAATCCAAAAACTGTTTTGGAGGAAGTATTTGACCATCTACGTATATTGTTCGCCAAAGGAGTTCAATTTTGGTGTAAGATGAGTCGCCCTTTTTAAACCATTTTAAAAAATGATGAAAAACAGGAAAATTATATTAACAAAACAAAAAACAAAAAACATTTTAAACAATGAGCTCAATGTTTAAAAGCAACAAAAATTGGCCAAAGTGACCCTCTTACACCTCTAATGAACATACTTGAAGGACTTTTTACTCCTACAATGGGATCATTGTGAAACAGCGCGTCAAATGCCGCGACATTTAAGTCGAGCGACGGTCGAGCAGCGGTTTGACTACAAAATGCTAAAATCGCTGATTTTAGCATTTTGAGAGCTAAGAACGAGGGATTCTGATCCTCGTGGGTCCAAACCGTTATTTTTCTCTTAAAATATAGTATCAGAAGTCTCATTATCCGCATTTGCGACTTTTTACCTCGATTGCATTTGCCGAAAAAAAATCTGCAAGATCGCCAAGATTGCCAAGATGAGGAATCGGTGAAACATCTTAAGTACCTTGCGGGACCACTCAAACTTTAGCTACGACCCTGAGATTTTTTTGTGCTTTTTTTTCTAACTATGAGACAACTTTTTGGCAGGTATCTCTGTTGGATTTCGCAATTTTTTTTTTTTTAACGTCCAAAATGGGACACCCTACTGTTCAAACGCGTTCAATGCCTGGGCGGCAGCCATTATGGCCGCCATTTTGGCTTTTGGAGAACTTCTATCAGCTTATTTTGTTATTTGGACCTCATTTTTGGAATCTACGACCCAAAAAACCTATACAGTGACACCTCATTCGACGATATTTGCCTCAACAAAATATTTCACCCCGCAACGGCAGCCCTTTTGGCCGCCATTTTGATTTTTTTGGGCTTCAATGGATCCGTGGTAAGTTTTTGACATCATAGGTGAAATCTCCGACCCAAAGAACCCTACCAAGGACACCCTACTTGGCACTTTTACATACGTATCGCAGTTTTGACCCTATCTTGGAGATTTTGGCGGCCATCTTGGATTTGGGGCATCCCTTTGGGTCGGAGAGTATTTTGGACCTCAAATTCGGATTCTACGACCAAAATTACATAAGAATTGACCCCAATCATGACATCAAAATCAAATTCCATAATTTTCACCCCCCGAGCCCCCATTTTGGCCGCCATCTTGATTTTGGGGGGTTAGACGCAAAATTGAGCTTGACAACATCGAAATTCTTTTTTTACGCATCGAAATGAAGAGATTAAGATATTTTCCACATTTGCTTCACTTACCGTTCCAC